GGTGTAAATAAGAGATTCATTGTGCAGTGTAGGGAGCTTCGTCGATTATAATGGAACTTTGTAAGATCGCGATGAGTGAGTGACGGCTTGTAATGATTATTAAGGGAGTTTGCAAATGTGATATTGACTTAATACAACAGTTCATTAAACAAGAAATTAATATTAAGTGACTTGCATTGTCTGACTACAACACTATTGCCTGATTTTGCTCTATTTCATCAACGAAAATAGTTTCAAACAAAGTCACAGCTGAGCCCCTGCACATTTCCAAGCAAACACAGTGGTGTTTCGTTTATGAAAGTGCGTTTTTAAACAAATCTGAATCAATTACCCATTCATAAAGCCAGTCACTTGCTTCATTCCTGAATGAATTAGTTGTTCGAACGAATCAATTGAATGAATGATTCAGTGATAAACTCAATGATTTGCCGCCACCTACTGGCAGTTTTATTATTAATTATTCTAATATTTTATCAGAATTTGATTATTGGTTAGAAGGTGCTCCTGAAATTTGACTGTGCTCCTAAATTTTTTTTTTATTTTAAAAGAAAAGTATGCGTAGAGCCCTGTTTAACCACTTTTTATTAATTTAAAAACTGAGAAATTCTCTCAAATTTAAATCTTTTACAAGAATTACAGCAAAAACCAGTTTGATGCAAGAATATATATTTTTATTAATATTTGAGAAATTGTATTTGAATATTACCACTGTGAACTCCATTGACTTCAATGGATTTAACTAAATTCCTTTGAACACGTCTGCTCAAAGTGGTCTAAATTTATGAAACCTACACATTCAAAACCTCATTACTCTGAAATTTTTAATGTAAATGTTAAGTGTAAGTGAAATGTTAAGTACTGTAAGAGGTCTTTCATGATGCTACATATGCTGGGGTGTGAATTTGATAGGTGCTTGAAATTAAATAAATAGTGCTTTAAAAAGTCCTTGAATCTGGTGTTCATGAAAGAGTGGGAACCCTGTTTATTACAGAAGCAACTTCTTATACACTGAAGGCCAAGATTCATTTTACTTATATGAAAATTAAAGTCTAGTATATTATGTTCAGAGATGTCTTCATGTTCTCACACTGTGTTTCTGTTTTGCATGAAATGCTTGACAAGTTGCAATAGCTGTATTAACTTTTCCATCACTGTGTGTTATCTTGTCGTACACAGGACAGAGACCGGCTTGAAAGAAGACGAACTAAGCCTATGAAGTAATGAGTGGCTTTCACTACTTTTGTAACACTGCTGAACTGTTGATCATGAACATGCTCTGTTTTCACCTCAGTGTAAAGGCTTTTTTATTGTGCATTGTGAATATTTTTCAATCCTGCTCCAGGGGACCCTAACCTTATTTAGGAGTCTCACTAATCATACACACATATTTCAGGTCAGGGAGATTTCTACTAATGAGCTGAATCTCTACTAAAGAGATGAATAAAAGAGACATCGAAAACGTGCATTGCTTTGGGGCCCTCAGAACTAGAATTGAGAAATATTAGTGCACTTAAAGGAGCAGTGTGTAATTTCGGCACCATATACAGACAAACAGATAATCCTGCCTCAAACCCATATTAAGCTGATGTTGCTGTGTAAAAAGTGTTTATATCAACCAGTGAATAAATGGCTTACTGATAACTGTTTCTACATATTACAGGTTTTTTTTAATTGCTTACACACTAAAGGTTGTAGGCTACTTAAGGCACAATCTTCAGACCAAGTCTGCAAAAATGCTAGCACATTATCTGTTCTTGTGTTTAATTTGCGAAAAACTGCTATTTAAATGCCACACTTACAGTTTTTTCCAACTGCTTACACACAAAATCTTTACTTGTCACACAATTTCTGAAGCCTGACACTCAAACACCAGAACCACACACCAAATCTGCAAAACCATACACTAATTCTCGGCCATTGACTTCATAAAACACTTTTTGCAAAACACAACACACAATTCTCTATGTAACACACAACAATCTAACAGGAATTAATATGTTTACTTTTTAAATATATAGGCTACTGAAAATGCATTCAAGTCACCTTTTAGTATAAAATTCTACTGTAAAGCAGCACTAAGCCAAGACTGTCTCAAGTAAGTCAGTGTTGATTCAGTTCAGTTCAAGAACTGTGAAGCTCACCAATTGTGTATTTTTGTAGCCTACATATGTACATGTGAGTGCTATGACAAACTCCAGTTTTTGTGCTCCAGTGCACACTGAACAATCAAAAGATACAAGATAGTGTTTTACATTTGTCATATCCGTGTGTAGCTCGGCATGTTTATATATTTTTGTAGTTGTGTAGCCTACAGTTAATGCAAAAATACCATATTTTGCAAAAGTTAAAATGGTTTTGAAGGAAGTGTTTGCTTTCGCAGGAGATGCGTACTGTTTTGCATGTTGTATGCATGTTTTGTGTGTATTAGAGTTTAGAGAAAAGAGCCATATTAGTTTCAGAAACTAAGCAATTTTAAAAACTATAAGCTGGGAGAGAGTATTATAACGTTGAAAGCATACACACAGCTAGTCTAAGTGTTTGTAACAGCACTTTTATTCCACACTGGTAATGACGATAATGAAGTAAAAGTGTATAAATAAACAGCAACGTGTAAATACGTGCATGTGCATGGTCTTCTGTTGTGCATTGCGCCCCCTTGTGGCAGTTTAACATGTGTTGGGTTACTTGACATGTTGTTCGTGGAGGGGGCGTGGGTCCGTGGGAGGTGGATCCGTGCTACTCCAGGCAGTCACCCACATTACAACACTACAGATGAAATGGGTGTTGAGAGCATGTTATGTAATAGGTACTTTACAATGAGCTGGAGGCTGGGGGATTCATCTATCTTTTCTTTTTTGTACATACAAAATAGCATTTAAATGTAGTTATTTGCTTTTTTAAACAATAGGCTAATTGTATTTTTCACTCACTTGGCATAACAAAGGAGACGGGTCGCATTTGTCATCAGCAGGATTTATGTTAAATTAGTGCGCTGCTATTGGGCCCTCTCTCCGTTTTCTCGCTGCGGTCATGTGACCCGACAGCATCGCTCCTTTCCGCCTGCAAACAAACAGCTGTGAGCGAGACAGTGTGCAGCAGGGCTCTTCAGAAACATACAGTACGTTACACGAGCGGGACAAAATGGGAGTGGAGATCGAGACCATAACCCCCGGAGATGGTAAAATCACCGTAATGCAGCTTCTATCACGTAAAGTAGAGTATTATTTGTTAAGTTGCGTGCGTTTAACAGCATTATATTATTGCTCTGTCTCCTGCTCCCTGTTTCTCCTCGCGCTGCTATTACAGGGAGGACTTTCCCCAAAAAAGGACAGACATGTGTGGTGCATTATGTTGGTGAGTTGAATTTCAGATGTTCTTTTGGTGGGTGTATTGATGTTGTATTTTTGTGAACGAATATGGATTTTTGTATATGGAAATTTATAATAACTGACTTAATTTAGAAAAAAAAAGGTTAATGCATATTTCCAAACAATCCGTGTTAAAATGACATATATCTGAAGAGTGGGGGGTGCTGTAAAGATACAGTACAATATACAGAGGAAGACAAATAAAGCCGTTATGTCTTTTTGAACTTCGCATTACATTCTCATGACCCTTACTCGATTTTCTTTTTCTTTTTGTTGCATTTTTTCCTGCATCTTTCTTGTTTCTGATTTTTTTTTATCATTCTACTCTCTCTCTCTTAAAATTGTTTACTTAGATTTAAAAAAAAACTTTTTCTTTACTTTTACTTTTCTATGATTTCTCTATGCTTTTTAAAATGTACTAAAGCAAATAAACATAAAATAAAAACTGAAACAAACAAACAAACAAACAAAAAAAACCCCCACAAATGTATGAAAAGGTATGTCGAGCAGGGAGAAAGTAAATAATGAAGGAATCGGACTCGGGAAGACAAAGCACTCCAAACTAATTTCCACCTTGTGCTTCAGGGCTTCCATCTCATTATTTCTTTATTACATGGGAAGAAGAGTGGGAGATATTCATATTGAGTCATAGCAACAGGTCAGAAAGAACTATTGTTGTTCAAGAGAATTACTATGTATAGTATAGACATACTGAATAAATGTAACTGATTCCTGCCTTGTGTTGATGAGTGGATCAGTGACTCTTTTCTGCTTGTGTTTATGTTCATATGTTACTGTATTTTTGCCATGTTCTTGAAAGAGGTACATGTCTCATATCCTGATAATTTACTGCTATTAAACAGGGGTTAGAGAGACAGAAAATCTCCCTGATAGAGCAGAACAATAATAAAGTAGCCCATTTATCTGATGCTCTAACCTCATTTCCTGTTTTTCTGGCCTTCTGTCCTTTTCCTCTTAAATCTTTAGGCTCTCTGACAGATGGACGGAAGTTCGACTCTTCCCGTGACCGTGACAAGCCATTTAAGTTCAAGATTGGTAAACAGGAAGTGATCCGTGGCTGGGAGGAAGGTATTGCGCAGGTATGTGATGGTGTTTTGTCCACTCAGAAAATCATATGTAACACTTTTTGAGTTTAATTAAGTTTAAATGATGTTCTAATGAAGCACTACCAAATCCAGTCCACCTTGATATTTCAATGAAAAAGAAAATCACATAATTCATGCTGATATTTGTGTGACTTTTAGATGAGTGTGGGACAACGTGCAAAGCTGACCTGTTCACCTGATTTTGCCTACGGTAATAAAGGCCATCCTGGGATTATTCCCCCAAATGCGACCCTCATCTTCGATGTGGAGCTTCTCAGTTTGGTGTGATTTAATGCATTAACAATGCCTTTTGTTAATTTTGATTATATTATAAATGTTTCAAGTGTCAAAAGGTTTAGTCTTAACATTAGAAACTTGATTAAATAAATTTTCTCTTTATGTCAGGCCATATTTTAGTCATTCTTCTCAGAACCAGCTTTATTCAGCATCCCATCCCACAGTTTTGGGCACATTATGTAAAGATCTGTGCTTTATTTTATCAGAGTTCTCCAACATTTTATCTTTTGCTTTAGTCACATTACATCAGAAATAATTCTTTAGCTCCTTTAATTTTAATCCAACATTCTTCCTGTCTAATTGATACAATATCACCAAATCATCAAAAACCTTGCAATGTCCTTAATCCTGAACTTGAACCCCTGAAGGAACCCTTTAGACTTCTCTTCTCTTGTGACTTTTTCTTACACTGTGATTGTTGTTGGCTTGAAACCAAGTACAAACTTGTTAAAGAATCGGCGACTTTATCCCTGAATAGTAATCCCAAAAAAAGAAAACAGAAATATATCTTAAAGATCTTATGTTTGGAAAATAAACATTTGCATATTTATTGCATTGTTATGCTTTAGATTTAATAAATACTAGTGCTGTCAAACGATTAATCGCGATTAATCGCATCCAAAATAAAAGTTTTTGTTTCCATAATATATGTGTGTGTGTACTGTGTATATTTATTATGTATATATTTAAGAAAAATATGTTACAGTTATATATTTAATATATTTATATATGATATGAATTATATGAATACATGAATATATGTAAATACATGTAAATATTTTCAAAATATATGCTGTATGTGTGTGTATTTATATATACATAATATACACAGTACACACATATTATGTAAGCAAAAACTTTTATTTTGGATGCTGACAGCACTAATAAATACATAAATGACATTTAATGATTTTTAACATAAAGTATGTAATTTTCAGTCAGTATTGAATTGTAAGGTTTGAACAGGTTCGCTGGTTTTAATTAGTACAAAGAAGCAAAATCTTGAACAAACCTTGTGCCTGCTAGTATGGTTGACACCTGCCAGAATACCACTGGTTTTGTATATTTACAAAGTGACCATATCAACTGAAAAAGTGCCATCATATTACCTGAAATCAAACTTTATGTTAGACCAGGCTGATTAATACAAATAATGAAGTTTGAAGTGATAACTGCTATTTCTGTCAGTTTGGTGAGCAACATTATTATACATAGTTTTTGTTTATTTTTGCAGTATTTTATTAGCATGCAGCTATTTGGAAATGTTTTAAATGTGTTTACTTTGTTCTGTGTTTTATTAGGTTGTGTAGTTGAGTAGGTGGCGCATTTGGCACTGTAGCAATGGACGCATGCCATTCTTAGTGCTTAAAGATTTTGTGATCATGTTTCACTGTTCATTGTCTCATCAAATCTCAAAACCAACCATTAACTTGCTAATTATTATCTATAATTGATGGGCACTTTCTGTTCTCATGGAGAATTTGTTTCATTGATGGACAAAGATGTCTGAAAATCAAAATAAGGGGTTGTGGCTTCCTAGCACATCGTGACCTACACTAGTGTGACATACACTACTTGCCATTCATGTATCCATTTTGATGCTAAATTATTTGTAGCTATTCATGGATGTTAATGTAGGTTGCACTGCCAAGACAATTGATGTGAATATATTGGA